ATGAAAGAGACTCGTTATGAATGTTGGGTTTCACGTGCTGACTCATTATAAATATAACTTGGGTTAACAACAAATTTCTCAAAACAAAACTTAAACTTTGATATTTGGTGAAAATTGAGCATGTAAGTTTCAACATAAAAGTTATAGTCAACTTAAAATCAATTGGTAATAGGTAGAATAGATTTTCTTATATTTAAACTACATACTTAATTGTTATGCACTTATTGTAAAATTTTCTTACTTAACACAGATGTATACAAATTCTTAATTTCTTACTAAAAAATATGCAATTTCCCCTTTTATTAGGAAAGATAGTGATTAGTTATTGTAAGGATTTACACAATTCTTGACTCTAGATTGAATCAAGGTTTTTGAAATTCAGAAATAGTTTTTATAGTCGAACCACTTACTGCAAAATTTAGGCTATTGGATGAGTGGGACATCATTCTCTTTAAAGTAAATGGGTGGTTTGCCTAACTCTTGTAGAGTTAGTAGTTACTAAATGCATATTTGTGTAGGAAATATTTCTGGCTGGCTCTAAAACAAGTAGCGATACCTTAGAATGGGCAATGGTAGAGTTGCTCCGCAACCCAGCAAGTATGAGAAAGGTTAAAGAAGAGCTTAATCGAGTTGTTGGACTGAACGAGGAAGTTGAAGAGAGTGATATAAAGGAACTTCCATATATGCAAGCAGTGGTTAAGGAAAGACTGAGGTTACATCCACCGGGTCCCTTTCTTATTCCTCGGAATGCCATGGAAGATACCAATTTCATGGGTTTTGTCATACCTAAAGATACACAAATTTTGGTGAATGCCTGGGCAATTGGAAGAGATCCAGATGCTTGGGAGGATCCCTTAATGTTCAAGCTTGAGAGATTTTTTTTTGTGGGTTTGGTTGTTTGATTAAGATAAAGAACTGATTGATGAAGAAGACAAGGTAAGGAAGAGGAAGGAAAAAAAAGGGCACCTGTTGGGTTCGATATTGAATTGATTGTTTGATTGAATTGATTGTCTGAACGAAGGAAGATTCGAGAAAGAAGATGCTGGAGGAAGAAGATGATGCAAAATTGTAATTTGGTGGGCCCCACTTTTGTTTTTGTGTTGGGTATGACCATGTCATCATTTAGCCAATTGTACAACTGACGTGTCTTAAATTTTTGATATGTATGTGAGTTAATAGACGATTTTTAACGGAAGGACTAAGTTGGGGTAAAATGGGTAAACAGTAGGGACCAAATCAATGATTTTTTTAGTTCAAGAACTAAATCGGGGTCCGTACAATAATTTGGGGACCAAAAAGGGGTTTTAACCAAATTTTATTTAAGTACACATGGGTCCACATTCTGCTCTGTACCCTGGGCCCCTGGCACACACTTTAACCAAATTTATGAAAGGTACGCAATCCATTTAATAATTTTAGTTCTATTTAACCTCTGTTTCGTACAAGTTTAGCTTTGAACCTTACGTTTTTATTTTTTATATACTTAATAACCAATATTATATTTAAATTAAATTTAATAAATTTAATTTTTATAATAAATTTTAATCTTTAAATGTAATAATAATTATTAAATATATAAAAAAATAAAAGTTTAAAACTAAAATTAAATAAAACAAGCTTAGTTAATAATATTTATTTTCCTTTTAATAAAAAAAAGTTGCAGCTTCAATATTTAAAAATAAGAGGAGAAATATTTTTGAAAACAAAAATAACATACCTTAAATTATATATAATAATACGTCTAATTAAGAACACATAAATGTCCATAAAGAGTTCCATAACTTCAATTTTTTCTTTTTTTATATGATTATAACTTCAAAATTAAGTTTCAAATATATATAATATAGCATTCATATTAAGCTAGGCTTTCCAGCTATAGAAACTATATTATAATATTATATATAATAAAAGTCTATAATCAAATCATAAACCATAAACAAATAAAAGATTCTATAATCATACAATAAAATAATTATGGGCGTACAAAACGTTTCTCATTTTATAATTCATACCATAAAATTGAAATCATGAAACAAAAAAGAATTCCAATATCAAAGAATCTCACTCTTATTGAAAATTTAATATTATGTAGTTCAACATTTTTTTTATTAAAGATGTCCATTAAAGAAAAAAAAAATAGAGATAACTTACTAGAAGGCTAAAGCAGTACCTCAAACAATTGAAAGAATGATTCTTTGTTCTGAATATTGGGGGAAAGCCTCTTGGAGATGTATGAACCTGCTCGAATGAGCAGTGTCTCATTTTTATTTTTTTTTGGCAAAAAGTAGTGTTTCCTCGAGCTGATTGATATTATTGCATAAAGTCCCTCCCAAGCAAATATTCATCAACAGCTCTCCTCCTAGAAGAATCTGACAAAGATTCATTATCATCAGAAGGATAAACAGAAGAATGCATTAAAAAAAAAATTGGTATTTTTGCAAAGATTATCATCAGAAGGAAAAGATATTTTATCTTCAATTAAAAAAATTGTAAAAAAATATTTATAAACAAGTTGACGAATAAGTTTTGTGAAAGTCCCAACTCCAAAATCCTATCTTTAACATAAAACTGTTTTGTATTTTACAAAAAAATAAAATTAAATTAAAAAAACAAAACAATTTAGTGCATTTCAATTCCAATTATTCAATAAAAAAACAATATAACTATTGAAATTATTAAAATATCATTGATAAATTAGTATGAAAAGTTTAAATGGCGATGTTTTAATAAATTTATAACCCAGTCTACACAACAAGAAGTCCGAACTGAAAATCACATTCTTATAAAGAGAAAAAAAAAATGAGAGAGAGAGAAAAGGAGAAAATTTTATTTTTGTTTACATGGATCTACATTGTGCTCTGTACCCTGGGCCCCTGGCCCAGGCTTCGACCAATTTTAAGAAAGGTACGCAAGGCACGCAACCCATTTTACGCGTACTGGCCCAAGTGCAGCTGTGCCCTGGGCAAATTATTTCTCTCCTAACCCTCACATACAAAGAAGGGAACATACTTACCAATAATAGTTAGTTTGATCTAAAGAAATTTAATTTTGTTAAAATAAAATTTAAATTTTATAAATAAAAAAGTAAGTATTAAAAATTTTAAACTAATCAGTATTAAAAATTTAAATTAATCAAATCCAATATAACTTTTAAATATTAAAGGTTTAGTATAAAAAAAAAAAAGAGAACATATCCTTTGCCTGAAATTAATAGGGGTGATTGGCAGAAATATAAAGTTTTTAAAGATAAAAATAAAGTTTAAGTGATAATAATAAAGTTAAAGTGAAAATATGCGTATAACTTAAATTTAAAAAAAATAAAAATAAATTTGAGATATTTCTCGCTTTTAATATGCCCTTCTCAAAAAAGGTTTGATATAAATTTCAAAATTTATTGCATAAATATAAAATGACATCATCGTTCTATTTCAAGAGAAGACAGTAAGTTAAAACACAAAACTAGCATCTAATCAAAAATTAATTGAGTATAGGTAAATTAGTTCATCTTATATGTTCTTTTAATTTTTTAAACTTGGGATTCTTCCCACTTAACCTAGGTACTGACACTTTTATTCAGGTTCTCGTTCTCTCTTCGATTTAACTTCTTTTTCAACATATGGGGTTGATCCCTCAACTCTAAACTTCATTTTTCAACTTTAATGGTGTTCATACCATCTTCCTTAGTGTCAACACCTAAAATACACTTTATGTTTTCAAAAGCATGCATAAATCCAAAGAAAACAAAAGTATTATTTTCACCCAAATAATCAACCCACGTGACCATGTAGCTTAGGGGTTGGTTCTATGAGTAATTAATTTGCCAGCTTTATTTCATGCTTGACTAATTTAATTTATTCTCACTATGGAATTCAAAGCACGAAAACTGGTCCCCCCACCCTGCTTCATCTCGAATCATTTTCATTTTCACCAAAAATAATTATTTTCCCTTGTCCTTTTTGTTGATACTCTTTTGATTCTAGATGATAAGTATAATTTCTTTTTCCAAGAATGTATTAGAAATCCAATATATATATATATATATCTTGTTTAAATTATAGATGGGTAGGCCACATTAAAATGTCAAAAAGAAATTAATACTACTAACATTGAGTTCCCTTGAAATCACTTTAACCCCACATGCTCAGCACTAAGGGAACTCCCCCCTCTTTGAACAACTTTTCTCTTTGTTCTCAAATTACATGACGAAAAATATGAGGGAAGGAAGAAAAATATCGGATGCATATGATTAGGGAAGATCTTGTACTTGTTTTCGTACAACATTTTTTACAAAAATATATTTTACAATCTAAATTATTTTAATTTATTAATTATTAATTATTAAATAATAAAAACTTTTAAGAATAATGGTAAACTCGTTTATCCCACAACTAGTGTTGTGTACTCAAATAACTATTTCTAGACGGTCATAGCATTTAATTAAGCAGAACTTGCTTTTAATTTAAATTAAGGTCAGCTGGCACACTATTGTTGAATTGGAATTACGGTAGCTCTTTATGAATATTTAATATTTTTAAAAATATAAAAAAATGAGATAATTAAATAAACATATTTTAATCTAATGGGACACACAACTAAATAAAAATAAAATGGGCACTTGACTTTTCGGATCAATTGACACTCAACCAACTTGAAGTACATTTTCTCCTTCCTTCGCTCGTTCATTGACAATTTGTTTAAAAAAAATAAAATAAAATAAAAATAAAAACAAAAAGGTGAAAATATTCTAATGATTTAGCAACCACTGCTCTTTTGCTGGGAAATTTTCATAAAAATTTAAATACGTGATATTCGAATCTTATCTTTATGGTAGAAAAAAAGTAATAATAAAAACAAAAGAGAAGTACTGTATTTATCACCTTCATGTATTGCTGCAAATGGATACCTAACCTGGATTTGTTGCAGGCAAGTCAGCAACGCAACGTAATTCATTTCTCTCCCCAGTTGTCAGATACTGGACATCTTTTTTTTTTATTTTGGTCGCGAGAAAGATAATTTTTATTTTTTATTTTAATTTATTTATATATGATGTAATTTAAATTTAAAATTTTTTAATTTTAATAAAAAAATATTATTAAATTATTTAATCCAGATACTGGATATCTTAAAATACCATACACACTAATTTAGCTCCAGTATTTTTTTATATATTCTTAAAGTATATTGATTTTTTTCTTATAATTAAAATATTACTTCACTAACAACATGTTTTCTTTTAGAG